TACATTAGCAGACGCTGTTAAGTTGGTGGGGAGTTTGCAAATTTATTTATCAATTTCTCCTTATCTAAATTTAAACTAAAAAAGCGCTCAACATTGATAAATAAGTGATTCTCAGAATACGGGTCGTTTAGATTCCGCGGCCCTTCACAACTATGTGATATGGTTTTAAAAGGGTTTTATACCATCTAGATACTCGAAAGCACTAACATTACCTGGTGTAACACTAAAAACCTAAGAATACTGCAACAGTAGGTAAGTAGAGCAGTTTAAATGGTCAAAATATGAACTCCAGTACGTTCCTAATGTCCGAGTTCATGAGGACTTTGCCAAATTCCGGACAATTTGAAGGGAATGGTCATCTAAGGCGCATTGCATTTCTGGAGTGACATATCCAGGGAACGCAAGGAATGAATTTCGATTTGGAAATATTTTTCTATATTTCGTCACGAGACGACCAAAGTCGTTCTCACTAAATTTTTCAAAAAACAACTGAGTTCACAATGTTTGCACTGACGTCAAACCGGGCAGAGGTAGAGTAACAATTCTACGCCCACAGTATTACTCTGTGGAGACTATTGATGTTCCCCAAAGCAATCGGCAGAGCTCCTTCGACGTCATCGTGAAAAACTGTCTTCAAATTCGAGAGTTGGCTTGTACGCTTTTGCAGTGTGAATGCCGTGTCGCCTCCACATAGGCACGATTGCGTCATATCAAATCCCTCTTTCGCTAAAAAGGAAGGTTTTGATGTGCTGCTTCTATTGTGGCTAAGCGGGTCGTTGCATCTGCAACCCCGGATTAGTTTGCTTCAATTAGTACCTTCTGACTTGTGAACTCCGTATCCCCTTTTCTAGGTCTGACCTAATAACTTTTAGGTACATGTAACGCGTTGTAATGACCTAATGAGGAAATATGTAGTAAGGGGTTAATTTAGAACTGTACATTATGAGGTTGGGCATCTGTGCAGCAGTGTCGGGGCGAAAAACAAGTCATTTATTGCAATGTTCTAGTCATACTAAAATGCATGAAATAGTGATGTCTGGATGTAAAATATGAGTATAACACACTAGTGGAGCAAACAAAAGACCAATTAAAAGGTGCGGGAGGCTATATTTGAGTTTCATCATTGATTGAACGTGACAATATGGTTTTTAACGTTGTACTAGAAGTACGTGATTTGAACTATCGCCACTTTACACATATCCTATTTGAAGGTAAATAAAATCATTGCAACCAAAAAACCTAGCAAATTCGACAGAAAAAAATAAAAAATTTAGGAACTCCCAAATGGCTCGTATTCTGAGAATCACCCAAATATGAGTGCTTCTCGTCTCGGTCTCCTTGATCGGAGTTCAAAATGATCGAAGTCTCTTGTGCAGACGTGCTTGATGACAAGGGAGGGAAAGAGACAGATGACCCGGTCTCTTGCTCTCGCTCCTCGTCGTGGAGTTCATCGCTTCTATCTATGGGGCAGGAGGTGGGGGTGGTGATGAAAAAGATAGTCTGCGCTGATTCGGATCACTGCCGGGCTCTTCTAACTTTTTCTTCTGTTCCTGAGAACGTTTGTACACTCTCCTGAACAGAATTGTCCTTGTTTACACAAGGGGCATTGAATAACAGAAAGTAAACATTTGATGCGGGCTGAAAACTTAACGTTTTGGACCTTCCAACAAAGAAGTATCCGTTTACATGTTTGCTTTTTTCTTGTTGAACAGCATCAGAGAGTTGGTAACTCTTTTCTTTAGACAACCCTCCAGCTACATACTCTCACTGTTAGAAAAACTCCTAGGATTTCACGGAGGAACACTCGTGAAAAGTATTGCCAAAGTCCTTTGGGATTTCACGTTTCGAGTTTAGCTTTGAAACATATGGACGAATGAAAACTTCCACCTTTAACAATTGTTAAGGACGGAGTCCTCTGGGAATTTCTAATAGTGGTGGAAAGTGAATCTTCGGTAAATCCCACGAAATTATTAACAGTGTATATTCACTTTCAGCCTTTTACGAAATACTGTTATTATTCCCATGTTAGCAAGACAACCAGACATCATTTACAACTGTTTCTTGGGTTCTGCACTGTACGTAGAGTTCATCACCCATCATTACAATAGAATTCATTTCAAGTGATAAAAACGGTCGCTTGACAATTTAAAATGCTACTACTGCACACATAGAAATCGCAGTGCACGGAGCATTCCTCCGGTCTAGAGGGAAGCAATGGCATTTTTGATGCACCTTTCCACTCTGAATAAGAACTGCTTGCTGAACATTAGGCAAAGTGTTCTGAAGTGGTAACATATTGGTTTAAGTGATGGAGGCCACAGACTCTGAGAGAAACATAATATGATGATCCATGACACAGAGAGTATTATTTTGAAGGTGATTAAAGGTATAGGTGAAGATTGACTCACTTGCATTGGCAGGCCCTTTTCTGATTGACTGATGGAATTAGTCAATAATTCTTGAAACAACAGTTTGGCGTATGTGTGGCATATCAGATTGATCAAAAGTCCAACAGTCAGAAAATTGAGCGAGGCATTTGGCAAAGGAACACAGAAATACTCCACAGTCATAAAAGTGTTGTTGCTTTGGTATGCTCTGGAAGAAATCATAATATTTTCCACACTTAAGCGAAATGAGAGACAGAGCGAAAACATTGTTTAATCCACATACTTACAGTGGCACAACCATGACACCATGAACTGTTAAGATCGCCTGCGAGAGGGTAATCATTGCGTTCAAATCCGTACACCTCAACTTTTCAATTCTCCACTTTTATTCACTCTTCGTTATTTTCCCTTGACTTTTTCACCTATTTTCAACGTTTACTTCATTTCTATACCTATATCCCCTCGATTTCATTCATTTCCGATCTGATTAACGCACGATTAGTCCCTTTTGTCCACATTTTCTTTCAACTTTCGTCACTTTCAGTCACTGTTTTTTTACTTTCACTTTAACTTCTACAGAAATGTGTACACTTACTTTCTAAAGTGATTACATATGTGCTGGAAATAGAGGTAAGACATATTAAAAAGCAATAGCTGAGAAGTGGAAAACAAAGAAATTCAAAGAAGTAACCATATTACATTTGAACGAACAGTGTTTCTGTTTGGTGAACTGTCATAGTAGGTGATACTTTCTTCCTTGAAGTTGACCACAATGAGTACCAGATGTCTAGTTAGGTGTAGTGGAATAAGTAGTGGTTGAAAGGTTAAGATATCCACCTGGAAGACAGGAGACATTTAAAAAGACTTACAATCAACAGTTATAAATAAATAGGTTTTTCACCTTGGTTCCCCTTCTATTTGTCTATTTCCTCTCTGCACTGTAACCTTCTTTTACTCTGAGTAAAAGTGAGAGGGTAAGACATGAACAAATGCAGAAGTGGCACTGTCAAGTAGGTTGAGGTAAAAGTTTATGACCTTCATCTATACAAAAAAAAGGAAAATAGGTTAGGTGGACAAAAGAAACATCTACAATATAACAACATTAACAGACATACCTGATCATTGAGCCACGCCGTAGGCGTGAGCAAACTAATGTCACTGGCAGTGAGTTGCCATAGACCAAATTTGGTGACCACTGTTGACCAAATTTGGTGACCACTGTCTCCGGATGCGAACGACCTACCTCCTGCAAATAACACATTCGGGTACATGTCAGAAAACTGTACACATCTCTGTCCTGAGGGTATTTGGTG